GAAAGCACTGTATTGAACGGTTCAATATCGATACGAGTATCATTGCACCCCTAACAACATTGTGATTGGTCACTTGCAATGTTGATCCTGGAACAACATTTAGTATGATCTGGGAACAACACCAACACGACGATATCAGATTGAGCTGGGTGGATAACAGACGTCATCAGAGCGCTTTTGAAAATATGTGATGTCTTGATAAACCGAGCAGATATTTGAAGTTTACACAGCTACATTCTTGCCTTAAAATATCTTAAAAGTTTATTTTGTGACCCAGAAAGAGTCATAAGAGTAATATTCAAATTAAGTAGCTGCTTCCTAGGAATTCCACGCTATGAATTCTGGGATAGATTGGGCCACGAAGGATACACCCGACCCATCCTTCAAATTCGGGGAAATGACGGACGCATTTGTCAGCTGCGTTTGGAGTAGCCTTTGAATTGGCTGTGACGTAATCGGTCTACAAATGCGGCCTTTGAAGGATGCAGCTGAGGTTTTGGGACACAGCTGTAGACTCCCCTGTTAAAATGCATTAAAAGTTTAATTTAGGAGGATGAATTTTTTAATCCACATGGATACTGAACCCCTAACATGTGCGAGGCCTCTTAATGCGTGTTAAAAAATCAGTGTCGTTCCTCAGTATGTAAGAGCCCGTTTTTCAGGCTGCCTGCTGTATTTTCCATGTGAACCTGGGAAGACGAGGAACCCGAGAACACAGGAAGTACATCAGCACGTGAGCTCTTTCCCCGACATGTCAGCTCCGTCTATAATTACTAACTCTCGTTTCTGTGTGATCTTTGAGGGAACTGTTTTACAGTGAGCGTCTCCTGCTCGAGCGCTGACAGACTTTCACAGCGTTCGTCCGCCCACAGCTCCGACACTCTGACAGAACGGCATTGATGAAAGCTCGCTGGCAGCGAAAGGTCCCAGCTCGTGCCGCAGAGTGTGAGACTCGAGCTTTGTCAAAAGACAATTTGTTCCTTGTAACAAAAGAAAAAGGCCAAAATTAAAGGTTGAAATTAAAATAAACTTCACAACAGATCCACTGTTGGGACTTCAAGTCTCAGAGGGATGGTGTGAGTAAAACCCACAGTGACACAAGTGTCTGAAACTGAACTCATAAATAGTGCATGTTACAGTATTTCATGTAGTTTATTATTCAGCTTCATAAACAAAGAAACCCAGAAACACACAATAAAAAGGAATGACGGCAACGCGACTGAAACAAAGCTGCTTTGTACACGACGCCACAAATCAAATCAAACGTTTATTTTCCCAAACATTAACACCACTTTCTCTCTTATATTATTTTACAGTTTACATTTCAAGAAGACGATATTCTTGAAATGTTTTTGTGTACTTT